ACTCCCCCTGCTTGTGTTCCTGCTCTCGCTGTCTCTCTGTCAAATAAATAAATAAAATCTTTAAGAAAAAAAAAAAAAAAGGAGAAGCAAGAGAGGACAGGCTCAAAAGATCCAAAGGAAGAGGATGGTTAGCACCCAGGGCTCCAGTGAAGTCAAGGATACACCAAATTTTGGTTGGGTATCCTTTTTCTTTTTAAAGCTTGACTATCTGAAGCATCAAAGAAATCAACCATAGGGGCAACAATGTGTTAAGTCACTCAGATGTGTAAGGAGATATTTAGGCTGAGTCCTCTAGGTAGCAGCTATCTGCAGGTCCTCTCTTGTCACTGTGGAGATGAACCAATACCTTCTAATTCTTACCGTGGCTTCTGGGCTTCTGTGTCTCCTCCCACACTGCCAGACTTCTGCCTGCTGCCACGGAGCCCTGGAGGAGAGCCAGGAAGATGAGCTGTTTAAAAAAAGAGAGAGAGAGAGAGAGAGAGAGAAAGGAAAAAAGACAGCTTTAGATTATTCAGGGTATTTGGGCAAGTCTTCCTCATTTTCATTTCCTGGAATGTTTCTGATTTTTAAAAATTTGCTTCTCCCCGCCCCCACCGCCCCGCCCCTTTCTTGAACACACCGGTAAAAGTTAGTCAGGTTTTTGTACATACATGATGGTGGTAGGACTTTGAATATTTGTTCATAGAGATAAATTATTACCATAAAGTAATAAAGGTGAGGAAAACAGTGAGGTATGAGGAGAAAGGGAAATAGGGGTGAGTAAGGAGGTGTCAGGAAAGAAGAAAAAGGAGGATCAGAAAGAGGGATGAAAGGTGTGTTCTGGAAAACAGTTTGCTAAGTTTTTAAAAGTTTTGTTTTGCGGATGGACTCCTGAGCTCAAACCGTCCCCTGTGGGAAACTAATCAATCTTCAGTGTTTTCTCGGCCTCCTAGCTAGAGCGTGGGCCTGGGCTCCACCAGGAAGGGTGTATGGGTGGGATATGGTAGCTGTGGAGCTGTCTCGGGGGCGGGGGGTGCAGTTCGGCTAGAGTGCCAGACCACCCACGGACAGGGATAGGAGTCGGCCCCTGGCCCTCCCCAGCTACTCCAGGTTCTGGTGTGGTTTGGGTTCCCTACTCAGGAAACCCTGGAGTAGAAGCCCTGCTCATTTGGGGATTAAAAACATGTTAAGAAAATACCGAAGCAAATTTGATCTTGGATTCTATTGCATTTATAGATCTTAAGTAACGTTTAAACTCCTTCTTGAGTTAAATATAATGGTCAGGTGTGTCTTTTAGGATTGGTAGAGTTTCTTCGCCCACCCCGCATTGTTTCAGTTAGCCAAAAAGTCTTGTCCTGACTTTGCAGGTGTGAGGAGTGTCTTTTAGGATTGTGGAAGAGGTGCCCTTTTAGGTTCACAGGGATTGGCTCTTCAGTATTTCAAACGGTATTGCTTTTTCCTCCCAGTTTTGGTTGATCTTGCCACACGACTGGATTAAGCTATTGTTTTTGTAAAGCCCCGGGGGTTTTTGTTGTTTTGTTAAGCATCCAAGCTGCCTGGCCTTTTCTTTGTTGTTATATTCAAAGTGTTTTCAAAACTCCAGACCATTGCTGGCGACGGTCAGCTCTTTTAGGAAGGCCTTTTCTACCGATATGGGTTTATTTTTGGACTTGGTTTCACGGGCCCGCTCGAAGCGGCTGAGGCTCTCGGAGTCGGAACCCGTTCCAGAACTGTCGGAGACATTCTCTCCGCACTCCCCAGGTAGGTTTTTCTCAAGGGCGAGGGGCATTTGTAGGGCGCTGGCCTGAGGGCTCAGCGGGGCCCACCGCGCCCTTTCTTCCCGCTCACCCGGCCAGCCGCCCTCGTCCTCGCTTTCGCCGCGCGTTTCCCACAATCCCCGGCGCCGCCGCTGCCGCCGCTCCCGGACTCAGGCGAGTCCCGCGGCGGAGCCCGAGGCCTCGGCGGCCCTTCGGGCGCTGTCCGGAAAGTGGCGACCGCCCCCCCTCCCCACGCCTCCCGGGCTCGTGAGCGCCCAGGTTCGGCCATTTCCGGCCCCGCGCACTTCGGCAAGTTCCGCAGTCGCTTGTCGGAAATGGCTGCTCGCCGGCAGGGGGAGCGGGGGATCCGGCGCGGCCTGGAAGGCGGGCGGCAAGCGGAGAGAGCGGCTCTTGGGTACCCGAGTTTCGCGCAGGCGGCGGCGGCGGCTCGTCCCTGAACTGGAAGCCTGTCGCACTCCTGGCGGCGGCGGCGGCTGGAGCTCCGAGCAGCCGGGGGCGGCGGCCCGGAAGCGCTCGTGGTAGGGATCGGGGGCTGGCCCCGAGCGCTGGGCACAGGGTGGGAGGGACCGGGTCTTGCAGTGCCGGGGCCGCGGGAGCCCGGGGGAGGCTGCAGCCCTGCGCGGCAGGGGCGTGCAGCCTCGGAGTAGGCCTTCCCAGCCGTCTCGGGGGCTTGGGGAGAGGACCTCCAGGGCCTTAGCCACCAGCGAGGAGGGGTAACCGGGCTCCGGGGGCTCCCAACACGACCCTCCCTTCTCCCGGCGTCCCTTGTAGCCCCAGTTCGGGTTGCCGCGTACCCACCTCCACCTCTTTTTCTGGAAGCTCGGCTTCAACTGTGCACCCTTTTCTGCTGCCTAAGCCCTCCACCTTTCTTTTGCCCCCTGTGTTTGTCCAGGTGCTTGGGTAAGAGCATCTGTCGACTAAGGGGCTGCCCAGGTCTGCCCCCCTCCCATGTTCCCCGTGCACACACTCCCACCATCTGCTTTGCGCTGCGTTCAGACACAGTTGCCTGCAGCTGCTCCTCCTCTGGTGCTTTTCACGGGGTTCACCTCCTTTGATCGTAAGCCCGCAGTCAGAATAGCCACTTCCTGTCCTAGGGTCCAGGTGCCACTGTTCTCTGCATCTGGGACTCTTGGAGCACAGGTCCAGCTCTGTAGCGATGGGCCTAGTGCTGCCTGGACAGGAGAGGGGTTGCGGAGTGCTTGTCTACACTACTGAAATCTTAGCCGGGTGACCCGACCCGCGCGCTGCAGGGGAGAGGACAAATCCCGAGCCCTTTGAAGATCAGGCAGGGCTGCCAGACTGCAGATAGTGTGTTTATCTCTTCTCCACATTGAGCCAGTGGTTCAGTTCCACTTTGTATATCTGTAGCTCTCAAAAGACTTGAATTTGGTGGATCTGGACTTCTTTTCTTTCCTTTTAAAAAATTCTAAGGGCTTCGTCAAGTCCTCTTAGTTCAACTCCTATGGAGGAGGAGGAGGAAATGCAGAACAACATATGTCCATTTTTTTTCCCCATATGTGATTACTTAAGAGGTGTCTTTAGCAGTTCTTCCCCTCACTTTGTCCTTTTTTCTCTCTAATTAGGTAGCTTCAGTTTTGAAGGCTGGGCTCCCCATGTTTTGTTTTAAAAAGATCTTTGTGTGTTGCGGTCATGGAGACTATCTGCATTTCCCCCTGTTTTGCTCAAGATTAGTCTTGCACTCTATCTACAGTTATTACACAGTATATCTGGAGTTCCTGGGATAGTAACCTGTAGGGCCTTGATAGTCTTGAGTGAAGCTAAGCATTCTAAACAACTTATTTAGCAGGGGGACTTTTAAATATTTCCTGATGAAGGAAAGGCTGTCATCTAAAACTCTAATTTGGTGAGTTAAAAATACCTTATCCTGTGGGAATTTCCTGATCTTCCACCTCTAGGGGAGCCTGAGGAATCATAAGTACTCATAAGTGTGTGGGATACTCGCTAAAATGCTTTCTAGAGGAGAATTAGAATTGTGGATCATTGGAATCTTGAAACATTTATTTAATACCTAAGATACGGTCAGTGCTCTCAGGGGGCATGCCTCCTAACCAAATGATTGTCAAGAGTGTGTCTTCATTCCTTCATATTTGTCTCCATTTTCTAGGGAAAAAACTGGCATTAAATGTTTGGCGTGTAGTTTGAATCTTTTAATGATTAGGCCTCAGAGTTTTAACCTATGAGTAAAAAGACTTTAAATGAACAGGTTAGAGAGAAATAGGTAGGGATTAAGCCTGAGTAGTGGACTTCTAGGACACAGTGGAAGGTTCAAAGGATGGTTGGAAGCTGTCAGAGAATGTGGGGATTAGATAAGGACATACCCTTTCCCTCTGGGCACTAGGCTATCTGTTGAGTGAAAAAGTCATTGAGGGGTGGTGCAGGAGTGAGGTGGTGTCAGGGCTGTGTGTTTGGTCCCTATCAGAGGTGAGACTGGCAAATAATGCCCTGGAGGAGGGTTGGAAATAGTGCCTGAAATAGAAGTAGAGTCAGGCATTAGGAAAATGAAGATCCCTCTAGATCTACTGTTGGTAGAGATTTGAGTGACTGCATGTGATAACTTCAGAGTGAGGCAGGGAATATGAATCTTTCATAAAGTCCTAAAACTGTGCACTTATTTCTGCTGGATATTAAGTTTATATCAGAAAACTTCTGTTAGCATATTTATTTCCATTTTATTTTTATTCCCTCTTAAATTTTGGTAACCCTTTTGAAAACCTGTAATGATTGGATAACTAAGAGGAAAGAGGATTTTTCACGCATATGTATGTTCTATGAAAATATTGGAGCTCAGACACATGTGAGTTTGAGAACTTAAGAGGGACAGAGGTAGGTTCACCTATAAGCATGATCTTTTCCTGCCTGAGCCAGTCCCACACTCCTTGTACATTGGGAATTTTTCACATATCTTTGGTGATGTTACTAGGTGGAAGAGAGGCAGTATTAAACATTTTGTAATCTTGAGTGTGTAAGAGGAATATGGAGTCTCTATTTAGTGCACATTTATGTCCTCTACACTCAAGCCGTAATGTTTAGTGTGGGATTTTGCTCACATGCATCAAAATGACCCAGTAAAATCCTAGGGAGGGAGCCATAGGAAGATGAACTATCTCAGCATTCAGCCACCTGTGTGGTTTGTAACCTAAGAGTGCTTTTACAGAAAAGTAGGTAAACTTTTTCTGTAAAGGACCAAATAATAACTATTTTAGGTTTTGCAGCTATTCAGCTCTGCTGTTGTAGAGCGAAAGCAGCATATACATAATACATATATACAATAAGTACATACAGTAGTACCTACATATAATCCATAACTGAATGAGCAAGGCTGTGTTCCAGTGTAACTTTATTTACAAAACAGGCAGCTGGCTGTAGTTGACCAATGCCTGCCCTAGTGCATCAGTCCCTCATACACATGACCTTACTTTTGTGAATTCCTCCACTTCTGTGCAATACCTTTTAGACTGGTCAGTGATGTTAATGATTACCATCCTGGATGTTTGCTTTGGTGACTGTTTTCTCTGTTATCCTGTCTTCTTATATTGTTATCGTTTTAACCTTGTTCTCCAACATTTAACATATTTTAAACATTTTTTCAACAAATGTTTGATATTCTGTGGGAGGAAATGAATTAGATTGGGAATATACCCTTAGTTTGTATAATAAAAGAAATACATAAATACCTTATGATGGCAGGTTACAATAACGTCTTTTTTTTTTTTAAGATTTTATTTATTTAGGGACGCCTGGGTGGCTCAGTCGGTTAAGCGTCTGCCTTCGGCTCAGGTCATGATCCCAGGGTCCTGGGATCGAGTCCCGCATCAGGCTCC